CTCTATTAGTGTATCCTTGGATGAGTTTAATCGGTCTTTTCCTTGTAGTACTTTGGGAGAGATTAATGTGTGCAGAATGCTTAACATTCTTTCCATTTGAAAACTTTCATTTAAAAAAGGAGAGAACATAAAAGTGTGTATTTTGTGACTGTAGCTATAAAAATTGCATACAAAGACTAGAAACGGGGACACAGGAATATGAACATAGTTTTTAAGATGATGGAGTTTTACACGATTATTTTTTAAATTTTCTCCTGTTATGTTTTGAAAAATAAAAATTAAATTTAAACTGAAATGGTCTTAAAAATTTTTTTCTTTGTAGACAGTTGTTTTTTTTTTTTTTTGCAGTACACGGGCCTCTCACTGTTGTGGCCTCTCCCGTTGTGGAGCACAGGCTCCGGACGCGCAGGCTCAGCGGCCATGGCTCACGGGGCCCAGCCGCTCCGCGGCATGTGGGATCCTCCCGGACCGGGGCACAAACCCGTGTCCCCTGCATTGGCAGGCGGACTCTCAACCACTGCACCACCAGGGAAGCCCCTGTACACGGTTTTTATAGTGATGTTTTTATGTTAACAGTAACTTCAGCCACCATATCAACTATTTTTAGTGTGACAGACTACAGCTAATTTCTTTGTTTACCTCTTAATCTATATTTGTTTTCTGGTTATTTTTCTTCTTTGTATTCATTTTACTTCTGGTTATTCCTATATTTTTTTTACTACTAGCTTTTTTTCTCTGTACATTTTTCTTTTTAAATCATTTACTTAATTCTACAAGAATTTTGAGGCTACTTCATTCTTACTTCATTCTTAATATTCTCCATAGTGATGTTCGCCCTGTTCTGATTTTTTTGTTTTTTCTTTTTTTATTCTTTTTAAAATCTCCTCTGTAGTTAATTCCTATTTAAGGCTCAATCACACTTATTAGAAGGTTTGCTTTTATTGATAATTTGCATTTAAATGTTCAGTTCAGAATTTGGGAAATTCTCATCCCATAACCCTAATCCCAGATCTTGTACTCATGAATACCAACTTCGCACAGTAAATGGCAGCTCTCCCAATTTCCCCACCTGCCAGTTTCACCATTGTAATGGTCAGTGAATTCCAACATTGTGTTCCTTAATTGCTTTTCTGCTTAAAATGTTCTGGATAATCCAGAGTTTTATTTCATACTTTTAGAGTCAAATAAGCAATGTTTTATCTCCCATTTTACTATGGACAGTAAAAATGGAACTTCTTGCATCAAGGAGTTGTATGGGGCAAATATGTTTAAAAAGTGTTAAGTTACTTTCTTGAATATCACCATTGGACTGATATAAAACTATCTCTAATCATGAACTCCCATGAATTCTGTTCTTGAATTTTTATCCACTTATTGAACATTCCTATTTAGATATTCCTTATCACTTTTTAAAAAATTGTATTGGAGTATAGTTAATTTACAATGTTGTGTTAGTTTCAGGTGTACAGCAAAGTGATTCAGTTATACATATATTCATTCTTTTTTAGATTCTTTTCTCATATAGGTTAATTATCACTTCTTGATAATACTTCTGGGCTTAAAATATAGAAAGTCCTGATTCATATATGATATATTCTCCCAGTCATCTGGGCTCAAAATTTTATGGTTGTCTTTGATACCTCCCTTAACTGTAGATGATCATCAAGACCTAGTGATCCGTTCTTCACAGGATCAGCTTCATCCTACTTGTCACATATCCTAGGTTCCTCTGCATACATGTGGATTCAACCAACTGCAGACCGTGTAGTACTGTAGTATTTACTATTGAAAAGTATCTGTGTATAAGTGGACCCCTGCAGTTCAAACCCACATCGTTTAAGGGTCAACTGTAAATGAGAGTATTCTGAAAACTTGTACAATTTGCAAAAAATTACTGGCCTCTTGATTCTTGATCTCTTGTCAGCCTTATTTTCCATACTTCCTTATAAGAGCCTTTCACTTTGAGACAGTGTGCTCTATCCCTCAGCCAGATATGAACTACTTTTATCTCTAGTTGGTTCAGCTTAATATTTATTAAGCACTTATTCTTTGCTAGGTGTGTATTTATGGAATATATAAATAAAACAAATTTTTTTCCTCTCAATTTCAGTTCTGTTATGCTTCAAAACTGAGCTCTGTCTCCTCTGAAGCTTTCCTTTGATCACCTACCCTAAATAAATTTTTCCTTTCAACCAGAAATGTGGAGCTCACTGACATATCCTCCCCTCCCCCTGCTATATGTGCAAGATAACATCTATACCAAAACGTGCAGAACATTTGGACTGTTTAATGAATAATTTTACTTTTTCCAGTTTTATTGAGATATAATTGAAATACAGCTCTGCATAATGACTTGACATACATATACTGCAAAATGATTACCACAGTACATCTAGTTAACCTCCATCCCCTCAAATAGTTACCAAAAAAATGGGTAATTTAAAGGTGAACATCTGTGTCACTACAATCAAAACTCAAGAAATCGAACATTACCAGTACCCCAGAAGCCCACCACATGCCCCTTCCCAATCATATCTCTCCCGCCCTCCTCCCTAGAGGTAATAATTATCCTTTTGTGATAGTCATATTCTTGCTTCTTTTTATAGTTTTGCCATCTGTGTATGCATCACTAAACAGTATTATGTTTCCTGTTTCTCAAGTTTAAGTGCATGGAATCACATAACTTTTTGACTTGTTTCTTTCAGGATTTTTGGTGTTAAGTGTAGCTGAAGTTCATTCATTTTCATTGCTGTACAGCATTTCATTTGTCCATTTTATTACTGATGAACATCTGGGTTGTTTATAGGTTAGGGCTATTTTGAATATAGCTGCTAGGAACATTCTCACATAAGCATCCTGTTTTTCCTTTTTTAAAATATTTATTTATTTATTTTTGGCAGCTTTGGGTGTTCATTGCTGTGCATGGGCTTTCTTTAGTTGCGGCGAGCAGGGGCTACTCTTCGTTGCGGTGGGTGGGCTTCTTATTGCAGTGGCTTTTGTTGTTGCGGAGCACAGGCTCTAGGCTGGTGGGCTTTAGTAGTTGTGGCACATGGGCTCAGTAGTTGTGGCGCACAGGCTTAGTTGCTCCGTGGCATGTGGGATCTTCCCCAATCAAGGCTCGAACCCGTGTCCCCTGCACTGGCAGGTGGATTCTTTTTTTTTTTTTTTTAACTTTTTAAAATAAATTTATTTATTTTGACTGTGTTCGGTCTTCGTTGCTGCACATAGGCTTTCTCTAGTTGCTGCAACAGGGGCTACTCTTCATTGTGGTGCGCGGGCTTCTCAATGCAGTGGCTTCTCTTGTTTCAGGGCATGGGCTCTAGGTGCACGGGCTTCAGTAGTTGTGGCACGCAGGCTCTAGAGCACAGGCTCAGTAGTTAATGGCGCACGGGCTTAGTTGCTCTGTGGCATGTGGGATCCTCCTGGACCAGGGCTCGAACCCCTGTCCCTTGTATTGGCAGGTAGATTCTTAACTACTGTGCCACCAGGGAAGCCCCAAGTATACTGTTTTTCTAGGTTATATCCCTAATAATTGAATCACCGGATCACTGGATATGCGTAACTGCAGTTTAAGTAAAGCCAATTTTCCGAAAGATTGACCCAGTTTAGACTTCCATCTACAGCACTGTGATACATCCTTTCTTGCCAGTTTTAGAATCATCAGACTTAAAATTTTGCCATTTTGGTAGGTGTGTAGTGGTATCTCTTTGTGTTTTAAATTTGCATTTCCCTATTTCCTTTCCATATGCTTATTAGCTGTTTGTAGTTCTTTTCTTATTAACCTACTATCCTTTCTCTATTTTTGTATGGGAAACTTTAATTTAAGAAGTACCTGTACAGTCTTTTTACTTATCAAAGATGTTAACCTTTTATCGGGACCAGCCTGGCCTTCATGCTGTAGCTGGTTCGTCTAATGTCAGTATGAAGACAGGAGGAAATTTTGGTCCTTACACTAGTCCCATCTTTTATAAAAATTTTTTTATTAATATGTAAAGCTATTTGCCCAGTAAGCATTCATTTGGTAGCAAAAGGTATCAGTCAATAGACAGGTATTTTTTGTGAGTGCCTGCTAGGTACTACATATCTTTCGAAGCTTTGGGAACAAGACACAAAATTCCTCCATTTATTGTCTTATGTTTTAAACTCAGTATTAAGGGCTGCATTTATCCAGTCCTGTTTTATGCCATGGCAACACTGAACAATCACTGAAAAGAATTAGCTAGAAGGTATTGAGGCAACCAGTAGTCAATAAGCATGTAATCATTGGAGTCAAACAGACTTTGGTTTCAGTTATGAGTCCAGAAATGCGTGACTTTGTGCATATTATGTAAGCTCTCTGAAATTCAGTTTTGTCACCTGCAAAATGGAAATAATAGCCTATAATGTTATGATGATTCAGTGAGGCATTAAATACATGTAAACTGCATAGCACATCACGTGGCAGGTATCCATCATCAACAGTGATGAAATCTAAAACCACCTTCCCCAATAGTGTAAGGTTTCATGTCAAGGACTGTGGTGAGGAAAGAAACTGGTATGGTTCCCATGTATGCCTCAATCAAATATGAAGATGGTATATAACTCATCTTCCATTTTAGGACTTTTGGGTTGTGGAATGGGGCAAGGCATATGTGGAACAGGAAAATGAGATAAGAGATGGTCCAAAATGTTTGGAGTCCCCTTAAGTACAGGAGCAAAATGAAAAGAAAACCAGTACTGCCACATCTACCTCCATAACACATCAGGTGGAGACTTTTGTTTTTGTTTTTTCCCTTTTGTAATTATGACAGTGTGTTTTCCAACCCTGTTTATATCCCTTATTGCCTCTCTCTGTGTTCATTTGATTATTATATCCCCCTAACAATATTAAAATGAAGATATTTTCTTTTATTCTGACTGGCCTTGAAATTAAAACTTGAATATGAGAGCAGTAAAATTGAATAAATATCTTCATTCGGGGCAATATTATAACTGATGTATTGTGTACTGTTTCATTACAGCTAATAGATTTTCAGTGGAAGCTGGGTATGGCTGTGAGCTCAGACAGCTGCAGATCACTTAAGTATCCTTACGTTGCAGTGATGCTCAAAGTGGCAGATCATTCAGGCCAAGTAAAGAACAAGTCCTTCGAAATGACAATTCCACAGTTTCAGGTTTGTGATAAAACTCATTCACTTTAGCCATTGTTCTGTAATTACTGCTTAAAAAGATACATAAAATCTTCTTTAAGAGAAAATTTTAACTGTTTTTATTTGCAATTGTTTTGATGTGCTTTACATGCAAAAGATCTGGATTTGCTTTATTTGGGAATTTGATAAATTATTTTCAATATTTTCAATATAATATGCTGAATTTGTATACTGACACTCCATCACTTTCAAGGACTCATCTGTGAGTGTGTTTAAGAAATTTGCATCTTTTCTAGCAGGATATTTACTTTGCATTTAACTGTTTTATTCTTCTTAGGCTTAATATTCAAGAGTGATTAAGCTAAATGAATCTTACCTTTGAGCAACATTGACCCTGAATTTTCTGACTAATAATGTTTACAAAATGTAGATCAGACCACTAGTACTTGATGGCTAATTTTATCTGCTAGGGATTAGAGTAACTCAGTAGTTTATTTATAGAATCATGTTATATATATTATTATTATTATTCTTTTTAGTATCCAATATTATATATATTATTATTCTACCTCTTTTCTGTAAGCAAGAAAGGAAGAAAGGGGGTGGATGAGAAATCATTTTCTTTTCAATGTACATACAGGGAAATGCTCTGTCTTTGGCTAGTTTAACTGGCCTTAGAGTTTTGTTTTTGTTTGTTTTGATCCCTTTGGTGAGTGAACAGATATGAATTCTTTCTTATAGCATACTCTCTGTTACCATGAATTCCAATTTTTTTGGATTCCACATATAAGTGAGATCATGCAGTATTGTCCTTCTGTGTCTGGCTTATTTTACTTAGCATAATGTCTTCCAGGTTCACCCATGTTGTCAAAAATAGCAGGATTTCCTTCTTTTTAAAGGATGAATAGTATACTGTTGTGTATATATACACACCACATTTTCTTTATCCATTCATCTGTCAACAGACACTTGGGTTGTTTCCATACCTTGCTATTGTGAGTAATGCTGCATTGAACGTGGGAGTGCAGATAACTTTTTGAGGTAGTGATTTTATTTCCTTTGGATGTATACCCAGAAGTGAGATTTGTGGGTTATATTGTAGTTCTGTTTTACAAATTACATTTTAAGGATGTTCTCTCCTTTTGATTCCTATTTTTAGAACGGCTGTGTCTGCTGTAGAACAAAAAAGGGTCACAGATTCATTATTTTTAATGCTAAATGGTGTCTTGGAAGCAAATTAGGACTTGGTTGGAAGGAAATAAATGTAGTGTATTCTGATATGTGAGTAGCTTTCAACTGAACATAAAGACCAAATCTACTTCAAAAAGGAATATAGGTTTCAGTCCTTTTGTAATTCATAATACTGGCCTAATTCTTATTTTTCTTTGTCACATTTGTGCTCCCTGATTCCACCTCTTAAAATTTTTTTCTCATAGTAAAAAGATCACAAATGGGGCAACTCTTTTAGAGGTAGTTTTTACGTGGCTTACAGCTAACCAGGCAAACAGCCTGTTAGTCACATTATAGGACTGAGCGCCAAGGAGCATTCTTTGAGCTTTTGACTTTTATCTTTCTAGTAGCTGAAATTATGATCATGAGTATATATTTTTTAAGAAATGGTTACTTCCTCCTTCGTTCCATAATAAACTTACATATGAGTTAAAACAAAATACAGATACTATTTTAAGTAGCAAAATAGAGAATTAAGTCCAAAGAAGAGGGAAAATACAAGGATGTGAATCATTAGAGTATATCAAATTTGCTTCCTACTTCTCGGCAAGTAGAGGATAAGAAAGGAAAACAGAATTTGATCCCTTTTTTATCTGATGTTTTATCTGATGCCTTCTACAGGAGAACTACCATACCAGCTTAGTTTTTAATTGAAAGAGAAATAAGCTTCTACCATGTAAGCTACTGTCAGTGTTGGGTCCCTCTTAGTATAACTGACAAGACAGTCCCTATCACCCTGAAATGCAGTCTTTCACTGTATTAAAAGTGGTTCAGAGCCTGGGAACCAATCTGTCATTTTTTTAAAGTCTTCATTGTTGAGAACAGTGCTGGGCATTTAATAAATCTTTCTGTTGTGATCTCAAAGAACTTTGTTGGATTCTTTTAAAAAGCTTATTTATGAGCTAATTATCCAACCCTACAGTAGTATTTTTGCTTGCACCAAATTACACCTGTTTGTTTCTTATAGTAACTTTCGAATAATAATGGTTGAGGAAGTAACATTAAAATGCAAACTTAATATGTTCTAGAGTCTCTGCTGGTTAGATATAATTAAAAGAACTACTTAAATAGCCTCTAAAAGCAAAATTAATATTGTTTTTCCCCTTTCTCTCCAGAATTTCTACAGACAGTTCAAGGAAATTGCTGCAGTTATTGAAACTGTGTGAAAACTGATTACTTTGTTGATGAATTGCTACCATCATTCTAAAATCATGGACTTTACTTTCTGCAACAAAACTGCCTAAGGATCAAATGATATTTATTGAATGAAAATTATACTTTTGATTTTCCATTTTTTTAAATAATAAAAAAGAAAATCAGACAAACAGGAATTACAAAGTGGTGATCGCTGCACACTTTGTGAATATACTAAGAGCCACTGAATTGGAAACTTTAAAGGGTGAAGAACTCTGTGGTATGTGAATTATATCTTAATGAAAAATAAATCAGACAAACAGTTGAATGATATTAAAAGCAGCACAAGTTTATGTATTAGACCAATAGTTTTAAAAATTACTGGTAATGTTACCCATTTTATAAACAAACTCTCCCTTTTTAGCATTCATTTTTTTATTGATGTATAGTTGATTTACAATATTATATTAGTTTCAGATGTACAACATGGTAATTCAAACTTTTTAGAGATTATACTCCATTTATGGTTATTATAAAGTATTGGCTATATTCCTTGTGCTGTGCTGTACAATGTATCCTTGTAGCTTATTTATTTATTACTTTTTTAAAAAAATTATTTATTTTATTTATTTTAATTTTGGCTGTGGTGGGTCTTCGTTGCTGCACGTGGGCTTTTCTCTAGTTGCGGTGAGCGGGGGCTCCTCTTCGTTGTGTGGGCTTCTTGTTGCGGTGGCTTCTCTTGTTGCGGAGCCCAGGCTCTAGGCGCTCAGGCTTCAGTAGTTGTGGCACTCGGGCTCAGTAGTTGTGGCACACGGGCTTAATTTCTACACAGCATGTGGGATCTTCCCGGACCAGGGCTCGAACCCGTGTCCTCTGCATTGGCAGGTGGATTTTTAACCACTGTTCCACCAAGGAAGCCCCAACAGTCTTTATTTTAAAGTCTATTTTATCTGATACGAGTGTTGCTACTCCAGCTTTCTTTTGATTTCCATTTGCATGGAATGTCTTTTTCCATCCCTTCACTTTCAGTCTGTATGTGTTCCAAGGTCTGAAGTGGGTCTCTTGTAGACAGCATATATAGAGGTCTTTTTTTGTATCCATTCAGCCAGTCTGTGTCTTTTGGTTGGGGCATTTAATCCATTTACATTCAAGGTTATTATCGATACGTATGTTCCTATTACCATTTTCTTAATTGTTTTGGGTTTGTTTTTGTGGGTCCTTTTCTTTTCTTGCATTTCCTGCCTAGAGAAGTTTCTTTACCATTTGTTGTAAAGCTGGTTTTGTGGTGCTGAATTCTCTTAGCTTTTGCTTGTCTGAAAAGCTTTTGACTTCTCCATCGAAACTGAATGAGATCCTTGCTGGGTAGAGTAATCTTGGTTGTAGGTTTCTCTTTCATCACTTTAAGTATATTCTGCCACTCCCTTCTGGCCTGCAGAGTTTCTGCTGAAAAATCAGCTGATAACCTTATGGGGATTCCTTTGTATGTTATTTTTTGTTTTTCCCTTGCTGCTTTTAATATTTTTTTCTTGAATTTAATTTTTGTTAGTTTGATTAATATGTGTCCTGGTGTGTTTTTCCTAGGGTTTATCCTGTATGGGAGTCTCTTTTTCCTGGACTTGCGTGGCTATTTCCTTTCCCATGTTAGGGAAGTTTTCGACTATAATCTCTTCAAATATTTTCTTAGACCCTTTCTTTTTCTATTCTTCTTCTGGGACCCCTATAATTCGAATGTTGATGAGTTTAATGTTGTCCCAGAAGTCTCTGAGATTGTCTTCAATTCTTTTCATTCTTTTTTCTTTATTCTGCTCCTTGGCAGTTATTTCCACCGTTTTGTCTTCCAGCTCACTTATTTGTTCTTCTGCCTCAGTTACTCTGTTATTGATTCCTTCTAATGTATTTTTATTTCAGTTATTGTGCTGTTCATCTGTTTGTTTGTCCTTTAGTTCTTCTAGATCTTTGTTAAACATTTCTTCTATGTTCTCAATCTGTGCCTCCATTCTGTTTCCGAGATTCTGGACCATCTTACTATCATTACTCTGAATTCTTTATCAGGTAGGTTGCCTATTTCCTGTTCATTTATTTGGTCTTGTAGGTTTTTACCTTGCTCCTTCATCTGTGACATATTATTTTACTGTCTCATTTTTTTTTTTTTTTTTTAATGAGTGGGATTGTGTTCCTGTCTTACTGGTTGTTTGGCCTGAGGCTTCCAACACTGGAATTTTTAGGCTGTTGGGTAGAGCTGGGTCTTGGTGCTGAGATGAGGAACTCCGTGAGACCTCACTCCATTGAATATTCCCTGGGGTCTTTCTGTTAGTCCAGTGGTTCAGACTTGGAGCTCCCACTGCAGGAGCTTTGGCCCAACCCCCCGGCTCGTGAACCAAGATCCCTCAATGTGCGTGGGGTGGAAAAAAGAAAAGAAAAGAAAAAAAAAAAGAGAACAGTAACAAAGTAAAAAATAAAATTAGACTGGGAAACTAACAGATATGTTAGGAAGAATATAAAAATATGAATCAACAACCAGAAGGTACGTCAGTACCACAATAGTAAAAGAGAGGAGGGAAAAGAAAAGAAAAAAGAAGTGGGGGGAGGCCTTGGCTGTGGAGGGCGGGGCCTAAGCAAGAGCGAGGTTTGGGTGGTGGGTGGGGCCAAGACCCACAGGGCTGGAAAAGGCCCTGGGGGCTATGGGGGGTGGGGCTTAGGCTCAAGGAACAGAAGGGGCCCAGGAGTGCCCCCCAGCCCTGGTCTCAGAGGGCAGGGGACCTCACCTGGGAGCCCAGCAGGCTTCCTGGGCTTGAGTGGGCGGGGCAGACGCCCTCCTCTCCTCTCCCGCTCCTCCAGCCTGCAAGAGCCCATGCCTCCTGCCTCTCCTGATCTCCCCAGCCTCCCTTCTATGCCCCCAGGACCAATTTGGTTGTGGGAGGGGACCTTGGAGGGCAGAGGACCAGCCTGGGAGCTCAGCAGGCTCCCCTGGTCTGAGTGGGTGGGGCAATCAACCTCTCCACTCCTCTCCTGATCTCCCCAGCTTCAGGGGTGCCCGTCCTGTCTGGCCTCCACTTCTTCTCCCCCCGCAGTCCCCCTTCATCCTACCAGTTCACTTTGGGGTTCCTCGCGTCTTCTTGGGCATCAGAGTCCCCCACCAGTGGTCGGCAGGTGCCCTAGTTGTGGGGAGACGCTAACTCTTCGTCTTCCCACACAGTCATCTTGACTCCGCCTCTCTAAACAAACTCTTACATAGAGTCCTTTATAGTCTTATATATAAAGTATATATGAATGACAAAAGTAATATTTGATTAGGATAATGTTACTTTACAAATTCAATTTTATAACATTAACTTATGAAAGCAATCAGAAGAGTGAGGCTGCTCCTTCTCCAACATTTGGAATCAGGTTAGGATTGGTCATTGCTCCCTTATTTTAGCCAAGTATTCAGATGTTTCTGTTATTAATATTTGTAGAAAGTTCAAATATGTGCACAGACATAGAAAAATAAATTTTATTATGAGTTTATGTACAACTGAGTTAACCTGGTAACACAAGTTATTGTGTTAGATGGTCTCTTTTGAATTTAGATTTATAAAACAGTTGTTAAAATATTTTATAAAACCACAGCAATCAACACTGTATGGCATTGCTCAGGAAAATAAACAGATCACTGGAATAGACTAGGTGGCCTAGAAATAGATCAAGATATTTGGGACAAAGATGATATTTCAGTTGGGTGAGAAAACAGGATTGATTTAATAAATGATACTAGCAGTCTCAACACATGCAAAAGTAAGTTCCAGATGAATTAATGATTTAACTATAAAAGATAGAAATTAGACGTTTTATAGAATATGTTAACTAAGGCTTGGGAAGCAGCAACACCACAGCTATAACGTAAAACAAATATATTTGAAATGTAAGAATTAAAAAATTATATGTGGGAAAAAATGGGTCATAAACAAAGATAAAGACAAATGCTAGGTTGATGTATAAGTTAGTACTTAGTCTGGAAACAAATTGCTTTAAGTATTTCAAGTAGGAAGAGGTTTTATACAAGAAATGAGATGTTCACTAAACTGTCAGAAAGACTGAGGGAACAAGTCTTGAGAAATCGTTGCTGGCTTTTAGAAAATCCGGTAATGCAGGAACTTCAGGGAAAGCCCCTGCCAGTAATCTCTGCAGAATGCAGGATGTCACCTGGAAGCAACTACAGGCCATTTCTGCCAAGTGTCAACATGTTAGAATGAAATAAAGGCTGCTTGCTTTCTTCACCTTTTCTAGTTTCAGTGAGAGTGCCTCTCATTGGTGGAAGTTAAACCAGGACCCTGTTGACACAGGAATCTGGTCAGTGGAGTTTCTAGTCTTTTAGTACCTTTGGAAGGGAGATTTAGAAAAGCAAGAAAGGTGCTGAATATTCCTACTCTGCTGACAGAAATAGGAGTTGTCATGGCCTTTTTTGTGAAGTGATAGACATACACACATTATATAGAATTTCACAGCCCAGAAATTTCAGTCCAGAAATATATCCTTTGGAGTAAAGCCACCAATACAGTAAGGCCCCTACATACGAACCTTCAAGCTGTGAACTTTCAAAGATGCGAACATGCATTCGCGTGTCCAGTCACGTAAGTTAGTTCACGTGTCTGGTGTACGTTGTCACGTGCGTGCATCCTCTACAAGTGGTGGTGCTTTTGTGACTTTACTGTACGGTACAGAGTACAGTAGTACAGTGTCTTGATTTCAAGCCCAGGATGTCATCTATGATGAGAAAAAAGTAGCTACTACCCAGACATCACTGGATCATTTTTTCAAGAGGGTCGATAGAATTGAATCCAGCAAGGAGCCAGAACCTGTGCCATCAGTGTCAGGTGTGAGTGAAATTGCAGCTTGCCCTCCGTCTCCTGTTGCTGACGATCCTTCAGCTCTGCCACCTCCCACCTCCTCTCCCTCCTCCACTCAGTAACTCTTCCTGCCTGTTCCCTCGATGCCAGCCCCCGTATGCCCGCTGTTGTACTGTACTGCTGTACTTTTCAAGGTACTGCACTGTGAGATTAAAAATGTTTTATTTTTTGTGTTTTTTTTATGTTATTTGTGTGAAAAGTATTATAAACCTATTACAGTACAGTACTATATAGCCGACTGTGTTAGTTGGGTACCTAGGCTAACTTTGTTGCACTTACAAACAAATTGGACTTAATGAATGCGCTCTCGGAACGGAACTCGTTCATATGTAGGGACTTACTGTATATAAAAATATTTGCAAAATTGACTAAATGTTCATTCAGTTCCTGTTAGGGCACACAGGAAGACTGCATTTCCCAGCCTCCCTTGCAATTAGGTTGGGACCTCATGATTGGGTTGTAGCCAGTGGAATCTGGGCAGAAGTGTCCTAACATACATCCAGTCTTTGTCATAAACCTTTCCTTGTCTTCCAAGCTCTCTCCCGTGTTGACTGCTGGAAACGAAGAAATCTGAGATAGGGAAACCATAAGATGGAGCCCCGGAATCACGATTGGAGGCAAACTCATAGTAACAGCCTGACTTGCACCAGACAGTGATGTGAGCTAGAAACAAACTCTTGTGGTAAGCTGGTGAGATTTTTAGAGTGTTCCTTAACAGCAGCAAGTGAGCATAAACTTGAATAACACAAGATATTTGTATGAAGATTTTTATTGTAGCATTTCCCCAAGCGGTGAAAAGTAAAATAAAGGGAGCAGTGACTGTCAATAAAGAAATGGTTGAATAAATTCATCATATCTATGTTACAGCATATCATATACCTGCCGTTATCAATATGTATTAACAATACATTTGCTATTATCAACACATATTGTTGTTTCATAAAACTGGAAAATGCACTCTATATATATTTGAATTCTTAATGGAAAATTAGGAAAATTAAGGAAAGATGTTTACCATGTTGTAAGCATTGATGGAGAGGGTATCTGGAGAGGGAGAGGAAGAGCAGTTAAAAAAATTTTTTTCAAATCCATAATGCATTATAAGAAAATATGTATCATTGTTTTTAAGAAATACTTGATAAAAATGTTTGCTTTTTAATTATGCTTCTGAAAAGTTCTTATAGTTCTTTTTGTGGTACAATGTATCCTTATTTTAACAAATGGTATAGTGTGTCTCCAAATCAGGATAGACAAACCTGAAATACATCAAACGTAGGCCTCGCTGTGCTATAGAAATCCTGAGCGCAGCTGGGTCTGATATTTTGGCTGGTATCACTGCAAGAAACTTCATTTCTTCCACTTACCTTTGCTTCCTCTTCTGAGCCTCCCTGTTGGGAATTTAAGTCCTCTTCACACCCTGTCAGCATTTCTGCAGATCTCCTATGTGAATCCACTTTCTTTCTTGGTCCTCTGCTTGGTAGCATACTGTCGTGAGGAGTGCGGGTCCATTGCCTACTGCTGTCCACCCATGTACTCAAGTCCCACCAGCTTGAAGAGTTAGCCAACTGGTCATTCATCCTTACCAGCTGCCCATAGACTACTCTATTACCCACCCTCTGCATAGTAGCACATTAAAGATTTAGGATTAGGAGAAGACAAAGTCCCCTTTCTATCCCTTTCTCTGTCCTTTGGGGTACCAACTTCATTGTATCCCCAGAAATCAAAGTAGAAACCTGCCCACCCAATCTGGGTCAAAAGCGCACACTTGCCTTCGCAGACTGTGCTTATGGTCTTTCCATCTCCCACTCACCCCAGTTTAACACCCTCCATCTTCCGCCCCCTTCTCATTTGCAGTGTTGCAAAGAGGCCCAAAGAAAGCCCTTGGCTCAAACACTGGGTGATGGATTTGATTAGAATAAATTTAAATTGCATGTTTAAATTTATCTTTTGAATTTGAAAGGCAAGTTTTTTTCATAATATAGTTTTACACTGTTTTCACTGAAGATGTCTATTTTGCTTATTATGAGTTTAATGAGCTTCACCTGGCTGGCCTGGGAATTAACCACTGTTTGTAACAACATTTCTGTGGGAAAATGTGTTTCAAGTTTCAAACACTTGACTTAAATGTAAACTTTTGGAAAATACTTGGTTCTCAAGTTGGAAAATGTATTAATGAGCATTTAGTTTCTAAAAAGAAATAGATTATCCCCAAGCTCATCAAGCAAAACCCAAATACTTCCAGATATTCTGCTACCAAGACAGGTTAACATACATATCAGATTTATGTGGAAAGAAGGCAAGATAGTCACATTAAATTAAAGGCGTTGAAATTTCCATCATGCTGGCGCTTCGTTTTTAAAAGTACTTAAGCAGAATTATCTTTTCAAATAAGTTTTTTCAAATATTTATTTATTTACTTACTTATTCATTTATTTATTTATTTTTTATTATTTTTAAATTTTTGGCTGCATTGGGTCTTTGTTGCTGCGTGTGGGCTTTCTCTAGTTGTGGCGAGTGGGGGCTACTCTTTGTTGTGGTGCGTGGGCTTCTCATTGCAGTGGCTTCTCTTGTTGCGGAGCACGGGCTCTAGGTGTGCAAGCTTCAGTAGTTGTGGCACGCGGGCTCAGTAGTTGTGGCACGCGGGCTTAGCTGCTCCACGGCATGTGGGATCTTCCCGGACCAGGGATCGAACCCATGTCCCCTGCCTTGGCAGGCAGATTCTTAACCACTGTGCCACCAGGGAAGTCCCTCAAATAATTTAAAAAATTTATTTTGTACTTTAGATTTTAAAAAATAAACTTTGTTTCTTTCAAGTTTTAGATTTATAGAAAAATTGCAAAGATAGTACAGAAAGTTCCCATATACCCCACACCATTTCCCCTGTTAACATCTTATGGTACATTTGTTATAATTGATGAACCACTATTGATACATTAGGTTTCCTCGGTTTATACCTAATATATTTTTCTGTTCCAGGATCCCATCTAGGACATGATATTACATTTAGTCATCATGTCTCCTTGAGCTTCTCTTGTCTGCGACAGTTTCTCAGACTTCCCTTAGTTTTGTTGACCTTGGCAGTTTTGAGGAGTACTCAAACTGGTCAGGTATGTTGTAGGATGTGCCTCATTTGGGATCTGTCTGATGTTTTTCTGAACTGGAGTTACGGGTATCACAGATAGAAAGTGCATTTTCCTCACTTCATATCAAGGGTACCTACTAGCAACATGATTTATGAGTGTTCATGAGGATGTTGATAACCTGGCTGAAGTAATGACTGTTTCTCCACTGTAAAGTTACTTGTCCACCTGCTTTTTTCCATACTTTACTCTTGGAAGGAAGTCACTACCTGCAGGCTATACTTAAGGAATGTGGAGTTATGTTCCCCTTCTTTTATGGTGAAGTATCTACATATTTTATTTGGAATTCTGGGAGAGAGATTCATCTCTTCTCCCCATTAGTAATGTACTCATTCATTTATCTGTAACAGTACAAACTCATGGATATTTATTTTATACTTGGGGTTACAATTGAATACACTTTTTCCTCAAGTCATTCCAACTTTGACTCTTGGGAGCTCTTTCATTTGGCTGCTGTGCCCCTTTGACACGCCCCCGCCAACTTTAAAAAAATTTTTGAGCACTGCTTTCTGACACTTATCACTACAAGATGCTCCAGGCTCACCTTGTGTATTTGAATCAGTCATTTCTCCCAAAGAACCCTCATTCTTTTTATTAGACAGTGGTACTAGAAACCAAGGTCTGGGTGCTAGATAGGTTATGTATTGTAGATTTTGAGATCATTAAAACTTAGAAGTCTTTCATGATATTTGTACATCAAATCATTATGCTGTACACTTAAACTTATGTAGTACTGTATGTCAGTTATAGCTCAATAAAACAGAAAGAAAAAAAACTTTAAAAATTAAAAAAAAACCCTTAGAAGTCTGATGCACAGCATGGTGACTATAGTTAACAATACTGGACTATATATTCGAAGGTTGCTAAGAGAGTAGATCTTAAAAGCTGTCACCACAAGAAAAAAAATGTAACTATGTGAGGTGATGGATGTTAACTTACTGTGGTAATCATTCCCCAGTATATACATACATCAAATCATTATGTTGTGCACATTAAATTAATACAGTGTTATATACCAATTATATCTCAGTAAAACTGGGGGGAAATTTAGAATTCTGAAAGAAGGAGTTCTCCTGCTGAGATAGGTCCCACCACAAAGTCCAGCTCATGTTTTAGGATTGGTGAAAATGATGACCTGAACTCAGCTAATATTATTATTCCTTCAGTTTACAATTTGAACCAGCTAACAACAAACAGGGCAAGATAATATATATGAGATCATGGATGCAAGAGAGTGCATGTGTCTTCCCGGTGAGATGGGCTAAATAAGATAGTTGGTATGGTGGCTAGAGAGGGCTCCAGGCTCCTTCTGTGTAGTTGACCAGCCATTCTTAACGCATGGCTTCCACCTTGTGAAAAACATGGCTGCTCCAGTTTCTATCATCATGCCTACATACCAGCCAGCAGAAGAGAGGGAGGGAGACGGAAGGGCATACTTCTCCGTATAAACTCACGTCCTGAGTGTTACACACCTCATTCTACTCACATCCCATTGGAAGAACCTATTCGTGTAGCCACTTCTAACTGCCAAGGAGACTAGAAAATGTCTAGCGGGGTAGCTGTGTGCCCAGTTAAAAGTTCTATTGCTATGCTACAGGGAGAAAAGGGATTCTAAGGAAAGCCAGGCATCATTGCTAGTCTTCCTCCTTGTCCACCAGCTACAGGCATCCTTCCTTCCACTTGCAGAACATGTTTATCCTTCCCAAGGGAAGACAATCCCAAAGTCCCACCATTCTGCATCCAGCCACAAACAGAACCTCTCTTCCAAAGGGAAGTTCCCTCCATCTCCGCACGTAAACCTAGCCTGAGCTTCTCTGTCTTGTAGAATTTTGCCAAAAGTGGCAAGAAGGAGCCAACACATCAGTGTTCTGCCATTTTTTCTAGTTAGTTCCTCTAGTGCAGTGGTTCTTACCTGGGGGCAGTCTAGCTCCTTTAAGGGGCATGAGGGAATGTATGGGGAAGTTCTTGATTGTTATATTGCCTGGGGCTAGTAGATAAGATCATTGAATCATTTTCAGTTCATGCTGCTGGCATTTTATGGGTGGGGAGCTGTACATCCTACGATGCCTAGGGTATTCTTGACCAACAAAAAGTTATTCTACCCCAAATGCCAAGAGTACCTATGTTAAGAAACACTGCCTTAGAGCTATAGGCTCTATAAGCACGTGGTCTGCAACTTCAGTATCATATGGTGATAGTTTTATCAGATGTTTTGCCATAGCATGAGTCACCACCGTTCCCATCCACAGTATCCTCACCACCTGTTGCCTGACTGCCAGTGCCTCCTGTTACACGTTTTATTCCAGTAGCATCTCACTTTTAGGTACAAATTATGTGTTAGGTTATCAGCTGCTGTGGTAGTAATCCCAAAATGATGATGGTTTAAATTAGACAAAATTATTTATCATGTCCGAGCTGTTTGTTCTTCTTGAAGACATCAAGGACATACACTTCTATCTTATAACTCTACTATTCTTACTGTACAGCTTCTTCAACGAGTTCAGGGTGGTTGTACCAACTCCTGGCTTCACACACAAACTCCACTAGAAGGGATGCTTTAAGGGCACGATCCAGAAGTTGCCCTCATCTGGCAACAACCCATATGACTGTGGACAAGAGAACAGATAAATAAAGAGTGGTATGTTTTCACAATGGAATATTGTACTGAGAGAAAATTAATGAGCAAAAAGTATACACAACATCATAAATTAATCTTAGTAACATAATACTGAATATATGTATGTAAAAACGTAAAGATAAATAAATAAAGGGAATGAAAAGCAAAACCAAGGTGATTGGTCACCTCTAGGTTTCAAGACAGGGAGAAGTTAGAGGCAGGATAGAAGAGGAATCCACAGTAGATGTAAATTACTGGTAATGTCCAATTATTCATGTTGGGAAATAAGTTCATGGTGTTTATTATATCATTAAATAAACACATAAAATACATTAAAATAAAAGAGAGCTAGGTTTAGACCAATGATGAAAGGGTGCCACAAGCCAAGAACTACAATTAAATGATTAATCCAGTATTCGTCTGTGCTTCTGAAGTAATAACAAACAAACAAACATGGAGTAAACCTATGATACATAGCATTTTGCTAGATGATGTAGTTGGGTCTACTACTCCAACATCTCAAGAAACTCAATCTGTCCAATGATCTTGCCTCAGGAGGAATGATTCATGCTGACCAAATTCAGTGAAGATGGGTATATAACTCAAAATATTTATTTATTAATTTAAACTGAAAATATAATGGCTAAGTAGTCTATAGTAGTTATATTGTTCGTTCATTCAACCAATATTTATTGAACATCTCTGAAGTGTCAGACACTTTGCTAATCACTTGGCATATAGTGGTGAACAGAAAGTTTTCACAGGGCTTATAATCTATTGGGGGAGTCAGATATTTAATAACTAATAATAAAAGTCAGCGGGTCAGCCTATTACACAATGTGGTAGAGTGGAGAATTTTTTATCCATTAAAAAATATATATTTATTTATTTGGCTGTGCCAGGTCTTAGTTGTGGCACATGGGATCTTTAGTTGTGGCATGCAGACTCTTAGTTGCAGCATGTGGGATCTAGTTCCCTGACCAGCGATTGAACCCGGGCCCCCTGCATTGGGAGTGCAGAGTCTTAGCCAGTGGACCACCAGGGAAGTCCCCCTATTACCCATTTTGAAGACTGAACAAATTGAGTTAGTTATGTGACTTTGGGCAGGAGGTCTTCATGCCTTCCTGGCAGGATTTCATCACTGCTGTGGACCAGTGACAGCTGTGTCTCCCGTTCGTCTCTTTCCAGTAAGTAAATAAATAAGTAAATGAGATTGAATTCTTCCTTGTGTTCTCCTGTCTCTGCACCACCAATGTGTGTTGGGTGTGTAGGGGGTGGGCAGATATATTGACTTTTGGTTCCAACATGGACCTGTATTTGGATATGATCGAGACAACTGTGCATCAAATGGAGATCGTGCACTTTGATAAAGATTTTTGAAATTTGTCAGCTTTCTGTCTTATTTGTCCTTTTATGGGCAGTAAGTGGCAGAATTACTATTTTACAATTAAAATTGCTGGCTCTCTTAAAATTAGAGACTAACATAATATTTGAAATGAAACAAAATACCACTTTTATTTGATAATATACATTCCTTAAGAATCTCCCAAATATAAAAACATTGTTATGTATTACCTATCTTGTGGTCATTTTTGATGCAACAAACAAACTTTAGTAGTATTACAGTGCTTAAAATTACAGGTTGATTGATTGTTCAATATACAGTGATTTAAAGTTTTATATTGAGCTAAATAAGTAATGAAAAATGTTCTTAAAATCCTGAAGTGCTGGCGGTAGGTAATAAAAATTTTAAGACAAGCTTTTTTTACAGTGAAATTTTCAACTGACTGCAGGTACTATTTTCTTGTTCCAAATGAAACATTTAACAAATAAGTGATGTGAGCAGTTTTATACATTTCTATTAATTTCTATTAATTCATTCAAAGAGATATCGGTACCCCCAAGTTCATCGCATAGTCTAAACATTACGTGCTCAGAACAAATGTGTAGTGTTTTCTGTGTGTGGGAATAAAAGTGCCTGTGGATATTTGAAGGCCAGAGGGGCAACCCCAGGCAGAAGTGACCAGCTATTTCCTCAGCTGTAAAACAGGGATAACAACTCCTGGGGTTGCTGTGAAAACTGAACACCATATGTAAAACATAGTAGACCCTGAAAACATATTAACACTCCTTGAGAAATGCAAATCAGAAGGGCGCTTAATGAACTTGAAACCAGAGAAAGGGGAATTATAATGGGCCCACCTTTATGGATGAGGTGTATCTGTCCAGGAGGCCAAAGTACATCTGACCGCCGGTCCATCTAGTGCTTAGTGATAAATTGACTAATTTTCATTTTCCAGTATTAACTGCTTGCCCCTTTTTTTCGCTCTTCTTTCTTTAGACATGTTACATATTCAATCCTTTTCTTCCTTCCTTTATGGCTTACCTGAAAACTTTTGAAATGTCTGGCAATAATACCTGCAATAAGAGAGTTAGAAAAACACTGGGGAAGTTAGGACACATTAAAATAAGAGTAGGAAAATAGTATAGCCAAGTTCAGTGCAGAGAAACATACGCATAGAATACTATCCTGTACAATGGTTTAGATTGGGTTGCAAATAACTGTTCATCTTCTAAAGTTAAAAAAACAAAACAAACCAGAAAAACAACCCCCAACCACTCATGAGAGGCATGGTAAGATCAAGGTAAAACATATAGTTCAAGATACACCTAATTTAGTTAAAAGAGATCTGAATTTTGTCTATGGGTCCTGTCTGATACAGAGGGTACTCTACAATGGGTCAGATGTGATCTTGGGCAACGTCATGACAACAACTAGAAGAGAATTCCTTATTAATGGTCTGTAAGGTTGACTACACCATTGTAACCAAAATCAGAACAAGGTATAATTACAATCAATTGTACAGATTTCTTGATTTACAATGCTTAGGAAATCCTTAAGTTTTCATTAGTAATGCATTTAGAAGCTATATCTTATGTTGAGGTGCACATTATTAATCCTCAAATTAAGTGATTCTTTTAAAAGTAGATTAGGGGATTGTGTTGGGACCACCCTCAGTTTTGGTCATTCATTAGGAGCACTCACGAGACTCAGCATGTAGTCACACTGATGGCGATAGTTAATTACAGTGAAAGGGTACAAAGTGTAAGCAGCAAAGAGGAAAGGCACATGGGGCTAAATCTGGGGTAAACATATGCAAGCTTCCAAGATTCCTCTCCCGGGGGAGTCATGCAGGATGTGCTTAATCTCTCACCCAACAAGTTGTGACAAATTGTGTGAAATGTTGCCAACCAAGAAAGCTCACTAGAGACTCAATACCCAGATTTTTTTATTGGGAGCTTATCATATAGGCACCCCTGCCTGTCATGTACCCGAATTTCAGACTCCCAGAAGGGATGCAGTGGGTTCCATAACTACATTGTTTGTACAAACAATTTAGGCACAGTGAGCCACTCATATCAGTCAATGGTGGGAACGCTCCTGGAATCCAAGTTCCCAGATGCCAACCAAGGGCCAACCTTGTCAGCTGGCCTTTTTAAGTATAAGCAGGAGTGCTGTTAACTCTTTTCCACACAGGGATAATTAAACACATCTAAAAAGTATAGAGGTAACTTGCTAAATAGCTTCTTATATATTGCCTAAAGAAGTAATCTACTTGCTTTTGTGCTAATTCATTAATATTAATTCTCATGAAATGAATGATGCTAGTATAAATTTAGCCTATACATTCTACTGTACTGATGAAGAATTTCAGAGTTTAAGTATTAAGGTTTTCAAATTTGAATAAGAATCTCAGGTGCCACCATTTAAATGGAATTTGACTGTTTCACCTGTCATTCTCAAATGAGTGTGCTGATTTTACTAGTCCTGTATTTGATAAGGGGGTCTGCTAGCTATTGATCTGACCACCATTTCATAGCACACAGAAATACTGACTATTACAAATCGCATAGCTTGATTAACTTGATCCTGATTTACACTCTTGAATTCCAAGTACCATAGGAGAAAATAGCTATTAATCTTTGGCTAGTTACTATTTCAGCATATGAAGAACATTTGTTAAAGAAAAGCACTTACATGTCTCATTGTGTTTCACACTTCTGTGCCAAGGTAAAGGGCAAAGGAATATTTAAGATGTGCTATTAAAGAACTGTTATTATCAAGAACATAACGGCAGGGTGTAGGCAGATTGTAGATTCTAAGCCATGATGACTAAGCAACAGGTTGGAGGAATTCAGACAGATAATTACGTTCTGGCCCATAGGAGTTTCCAAATGAATGGCAGGGCAAATGGGAAGCCCTAGAGAAGCAGACTGTTTACTGTCTCCTTCCAACATGTGCAAACCCTGTCATGCTGTAGAAGCAGCAGCTTAGTTTGGGGGATGAGGAAAGACAGTATATTTTATTTCTTGCTAAAAACACCACTCATAGTTGGGCATGAAAAACCCCTTGCTTTCTAGTATAGACATCTAACCATTCATCATTTATATACTTGGTGTCTCCTCTGTAGCACATATACCAAGAACCAAGGATACTGAGGTGAATGAAATTGATCATGCCCTTGAGGAGGTAAGTTTTTTTGTGGCAGTGGTTTTCAGTACTATAGGGTGACTACAAATCAGCTGAGGAGTTTGTTCCTACCCATAAACATTTAGATATTGATCAGGGAAAGATTAGCTATTTATTAATAATTGTTGGAGTTGGGTGATGTGTATATTTGGGATTGTTATAACATTGTCTTTTTTATTTGTGTGAAAATTTCCATATAACTTATTTTTTATATCCTGAGAATTTACCATGTTTTATTAAAAAGTCAAAAGATGTTAGTATCTTTAGTTTACAAATATATTTGTTCCTTCTCCAAGATGGGAGACCAAGATACATCATAGAGCAATTCTTATCATATAGCTGGCCTCAATCATACATACTGCCATAATTAAAGTATACTTTGAGCCAGATAATGTGCTTTTTTTACTTTGATTTGTGATACATGAATTGGTAAGCGGTTTGTTCCATAATAGGCAGTAAAGGAAGCTTGTTTGACTCCAACAAATTTCTAAAAGTAGTTTTACATGCAAATCATTAGGAAAAACTAACTTGACTAAAACATTTAAAACATTTAAAAAGAAATTGACAATAAGACTGAGGGATATGTAAGGTGAACAGAATAAATAATCTAAACATTAAAACTCTCCCAAGTCATGGTGTACATCTGAAGATAGGAATTATACTCTAGTATATGTGAAACATGAATAAAGTTGTAAAATAATAAAATCAAGTGATCATCTTTTTAAAATACCTTATTATAAATTATGTGCTAGTTGTTAAAACTTCAAATAGTAAAACTGAGTATTGAATGAATGAATGGATGCATAAATAAATAAATAGGTGGTTTTCTTTAGCCTCAGTTTAAAAGTCACATATCTAATTGTTCATCAGAAATGACCTTTTGGTTTCCACAAAGTTTTTCTTTTAATTTGAGTCTTTTTAAAAAGCTGGAAGACCCCAAAATACTACATGTACATTCTCCAGTGTCAATAATTGGCTAGAGCTGAGTAGTAACTACCCCCTTTAAGATGGAGTCTGAATTCTTACATGCACGCGTACGTGCCTGAGATTCTGTACATCTTGAATGTTCACAACAGTTTCTGTATGTTCCTTATACTTAAATGTCAGTTTGCATGGATATAAAACCCTTAGCTCACATTTTCTTGCCTTGAGTGTTTTGCATATGTTACTCCATTGTCTTCAGTCATAAAGGGTTGCTGTAAAAAGATCTGATGACAATTTGATATCACTTCCCTTATAAATGATTTGTGTGTTTTGGTCTAGATACAAAATGAATACTTAAAGTTTTTCTTTAAAATTCATTAGTTTTACTAAAATAAGTCTTGATGTTGGTCATTTTGGATTAGTTTTTCCAGGTACATAGTGTGCTTTTCAAGATGTATGTTCAAGTTTTTGTTTATTTTTTTTACTTCAGGAAAATTTTGTTGGATTATAGGCTTTTAATATTTGTTCTGTTCCATTGATTTGGTTCTCTTCTTTGGGCACTTCTGGTATGCATCTGTAGGAACTTCTCTGACTGTTTTCTATACCTGTCACTTTCTCTCAAATCCTTTTCAACTCTTCATTACTTTTTGAATTTTAACATTTTCTTCCTTTTGATCTTCTATTTCTGTCATTATTTGTTGTTTTTATTTGTTCTTGTGTTTCTTATATATGCTTCCTTAAAAATTTTTAAATTATTTCCTGAGTTCTCTCATTTTTTTCTCTACATAAACTTTTTGTATCACTAAATAAAGCACATTTATATACGAGGAAAACTCCTAAGCCCAAATGGTGAAGTACCCACTGCTGCAATGAATGCTTGCCACGGGCACGTTAACTCCAAAGAGCAGAGACTGCAAGATACTTAAAACTCTCTAAACTAGAGAGAGAGCAGAAGACTGGCTGAAAGTCATACAACGATTGTCAGATCTCCTCTACCTCATGCTCAAAACCACCGAAGATGGTATAATAACTTCTAGAATTAGTGTCATGTTCCTGTTTGTTCAAGTGAGTTTTCTCCTGATCTTAATGATTAGAACAAAGGCAAGAGCTACAGAAGAGGCATTCCATTGATAAATATAGAACAATATCAGAACATCAAAGAGGAGGTAACATAGAAAATCTTGTTTTTTCAAATATCAGGTGCTTTCATATTGTAGTCGTATAGCAGTGGAGTAAGCTCCACCTCTCAAAGGCTTAATTCAGGGCTTCCCTGGTGTCACGGTGGTTAAGAATCCGCCTGCCAGTGCAGGGGACACAGGTTCGAGCCCTGGTCCAGGAAGATCCCACATGCCACGGAGCAAGTAGGCCCGTGTGTCACAACTACTGAGCCTGTGAGCCACAACTACTGAGCCCATGTGCTGCAACTACTGAAGCCTACGCACCTAGAGCAACAAGAGAAGCCACCACAATGCAAAGCCCGCCCACTGCAATGAATAGTAGCCCCCACTCGCCACAACTAGAGAAAGCTCTCATGCAGCAATGAAGACCCAATAGAGCCAAAAATAAATTAAAAAAAAAAAAGGGCTTAATCCAAAAACTTTCTGTTGGTATCACACCAAACGAGGTTCACTGTACTTTGGCATCCTTCTTGAACTGTGAGATCCAGCTGGCTTTTTAGGGTGTTGGAAACCTTTATTCTGTGATCTCCATCATGGATTTCAAAATGGCCAGCTATTTACTCAGACAGGTAGCCACCTTGATCAATTTAGACATCGGCATCATTTTTTGGTGGCAGTTTTATATATAAGGATTTCTTTTTGCACTTCAACCTCTACCAGCAGGGAGTCTCGATTCCTGTAAGGAAGAGTCGTTAGGGGCTATAGCAACAAGTACAAACCCTGGAGGACCAGTGCTTACAGCCTCACTCGGTGCCTGGTTGTACTTTTACCACCTTGCTAAGTGTATTTTGCTTTACTTAGGTCTGTAATATGGTCATTTCTCGGCTCAGAGGACTTTTGAACTTGCTTTGATTTGTCACGGTGGACATTTCCTTTTGCTGCACAAACTGCATTTCTTTCTTTTCATAATAATCTCTAATTTTGAGTCTTTGTTTGCACAAGATAACTTTTCTCAACCTTTTACCTTTTCTTTGTTGTTGCCTCTCTTTCTTCTGCTTTCTCACTGGCTTTTGTTCAATGAAAGCTACCATGTGCTTAGGCTCATGGCAAAGGCAGAGTTAGCCTAGAGCATAATGGGCTCAGGTTGAGCATAATGGGCTCACTGGGCTTCAACTTTGAAGGGCCAGATGAAAGAAATGGCAGAGAGAAACTCAACAAAGGTCTCAGCTTCCTTGCTTTATAACCCCAGATTCTGGTTTTGCTATTTTTGAGTTTCTCTAATGCTGATTTATGTTATTCTTTCATAGCTTCTATACTTCTTAATTTCTTTTAACTTATTTTGAAATATTAGATTTTATAGTTTCACATTTGGTTGCCATATCTTTTCGAAGTGTTTTTGTCATGGTTTGTGGGGATTTTATTCTGCCTCTTATTCTCCTTTTAATGATAATAATTTTGCATGGTACTTGGCCAAATTTTTCTATTGCTTATTTTGTAAATAAGTTTCCCTTTACTTTTTATGAGAGAGGAGGGTCCAAAGAGATGGATTTTCTAGCTTCCCTGTTCCAGGACTTCTGCTGCTGCTGTTTTTGCAAAGTAAGAAGAAAAAATAGCCTCTTTCGGAGATCTGCCTCTCACTGCCTTTTCTTCTCTTTTTTAAATAGGAAAGCAATGCATCACTCTTAACAAGGGAGAATTACTTTAAAACAGGGAGTATCATAATGGGTAGCTGAGAGAAGAGTGGAATTTAATCAAATGCACATATTGAGTTTAATGATCCAAAACAGATGAATAATTCTCCTCTAGAGTTATAGCCATAACCATAAAAAACACTGCCTGGTCTAAATAACTTTTTTCATATACATGAGAGCAAAGTGATGAGAAAATTTAGTAACTATATAATCCAGAGATGGTCCCACTGCTTCTCAGAGTGCTTTTAATTTCTCAGCCATCACTTTTGTTTCTCTCACCTTCTCCCTCCACATTTGCTGAAAATAAATTCCCTAGGCCACCTTTTTCAATGTTTTCCTTACATAATCTCAATACTAGATAGTCAGTTATTTGGCAAAGTTTTCTACGAAGCTACATGTTATTCAAGAATTTGTGTTGCATCCTCTAAAATTTTGTTGAGAACTGACTTAAAATTCCCTAGAGTTTGTCTAAAATACTTTATATACACATCATTTATTGGTTAGGTAATGACTACAATGGACATATAGTTTATTCATTTTTGTCTTCAACTTTTGTGTTGAACAGAATATTGTACTATTTATCCTTATACAGATTTGGGAGTTCTTCAGACTGTTGTAACAAAACTGCCTATCTTATGACTATTTTCTCTTTGGGGGGGCGTGTTAGGCTTTCTGTGTTATAACCTAATAGAGTTTCCTTGTTGAGGCCATGGGCTAAGGTCATATTAAGGTAGATTTCAAGCAGGATCTCCTCTCAAAGGGAGAGATCCTTTCCATCATCAGGTACTTGGGTGAGTAGAGGGAATGAAGTCCTTAGGACTTAAGCAGGCCAGAGCAGGGTCTTGAGGGCAAAATGACTCAAGCTCTGTGTGAAGAGACTGGATAGACAATGAAGTAGGCTTAGCCCCCTTCTTAGACCTTACACCCAGTTTGCTCCTTTGAAGGTTAGTGGGTGCCTTGGTGGTAGGGTCAGTATCTGGCTAGGCAGGTCTCAGAATTGTAATGAGCTACGAAAAGTGTCCTCAAGTGGAACCGTGGAACATTTTCCTGGTTAGGAGGCAGAATTGTCCAAGGTCATGGACTCCCAGGGAGCTCTCTACGAAATCTGGTGGAACAGTGCCAGGAAAACATGAGGGAAAAAATATTGAAGACTGTGGCTAAGAGTTTCAAGTGAGGGAGGAACAGGGAAAGATGCCAGATGATGGTGAGTTCGCCTGATTCAGCCCTGAGGCCCTGTACAGGGAGTATATACGCTGGGCAACCTTTT